AGCTTATAGAAAAGACCATCATGCTAACCCTTATCAAAGGCTATAGAAATGTTTGAGAGCGATAGCCTTAACATCTCCACATCTAATGCACAATAAAACCTATTAGTAATTATCGTTAACAAATCAGCAACAGAATGAGAAGATCGAAATCTATATTGATTATCAGATAAGTTATTAGATTCAAGATGAGAGATTAAGTGTTTTTTAATTAAAGACTCAAAAACCTTGCTTAAGATAAGAAAAAGACTAATGGAATAGTAGTTAGATGATTCAGATTGCTCTCCCGAATTTTCGAAAATAAAAGAAGCAGCATAGAGTCTTGTTTTACAGCATGCTTGAAAACAAGACTCTGATAAGCACTTACTAAATAGTTTTGAAAGTATAGATAACAGAGGAGAACACTTCTGCAGGCTTGGTCGGGAAGTGGGAGCAATCGTTCTCAATTGCTGACCACGGAAATAATATTTAGTTGTGAAAAGCTGGCCAGATTTTTTAGTTGTTTTGAGAACATTTCAAAAAGCAAAAAAAAAAATGCGCAAAAGATAAATTGGACCGATAAGAAAAAATTACAAAAAAAAAAAAATTTGGAAAATAAAATATCTTTTAACGCAAAAAAACTTAAAGCAAAATAAATTACATTTAGAACAAATATTTTCGAAATATTTGTTCTAAATGAATTTCTTTTATAATTTTTTTATAAAATTAGGCAACGTTTTTTATATAAAGTAACATCTTACGATTGCTGAAAAAAGAAACAAATGTTCTTTATTTAACAAAGTTTGCAAGTTTTATTTTTCTCTTGCTTAGCTAAATTATTTTATAAATGAAAAAGGTAATTTTTTTAATACCTATTTTATGTTGAGCATAGTTTAAAAAGTTTAACATTTGAAACAATTCTTCTTAGTAAGATAAACAAATGAAGTAATTAAATCATCGAATTACTATAGAAATTAAATTAACTAGATAGAAATCATCTAAAAAGGTTAAAAATACTTTATGACAAGGAAGCGAAACTGCTTCACAATATTGCTGATGATGTTTAGTGAGTGGGCTTTTTAATTTTAATTAGTATTTAAAGCAGAAAAAAGTATAACAAGTTTTTAAGAATCGGAACTTAAGAAAATAATTCCGCGAGTTACTTTGTATGCATTGTTTGTGTTTAGTAACCAGAAACTTCTTATATGTTTGTTACATAATTAGTTTGATTAACTTTAATGAATATTAATAACTTCATTGAAAACGCAATTATTTTTGTAAGTCTTTGTTTACAAATTAAATCATAAAAATTGCTTTAAAAGATTACATTACAATAACAAACAGATACACAAAATTACATTTACATAAAAAATACATACTTTTTAAATAAAAAATGAGAATATACTAATAAAATCTATTATTTATAATAAACTTTCAAAATTTTGACAATTTAAATAATATATATTTAAAACATTTATTTTTGTAAACAAATAATAATAGTTTATAAGATTTACAGCTTTGCAGATGTGGCTCCGATGTGGTCCGATTTGCAGATGTGGCTCCGAAAATGAGCCATAGTATTGATAATATATTCTTAAAACAATTTATGCTAAAAATCTCAAAACGTAACAAATCGTGAATAATACAATTTCTAAAACATTTCAACAGAATACTCTAGAACTTTATTTCTCTTAGTCTGCGTATATTTTGAATCAATAGAATTAGTTTGTTCGTTAATTTGACGGGTTTTTAGTGTTCGCAAATATTCTTTTTATTCTTCTGCACCAAGATGTTTTGAGAACATTAAAGTTTTTTATGTTTCCATGTATATCTGTAAAACAAAAATTTTTTGCTTTGTACATAAACTTAAATGTTCTCAAAACGACTAAAAAACATGGCCAGTTTTTCGCAACTAAATATAATTTCCATGGTCAGTATTCGAGAGCGATCGCTCTCGCTTCCCAACCAAGCCAGCTTCTGCAAGACTATAATAGGTATGTTGTTGTCAAGAGATGAGATGGATAAAAAGTTCTCAGCAAACAATTCAGCTCTGTCTTTAGGTGAGGTAACAAAATCTGATTAAAGATTAATCTATTATTAATCAGTTATTAAAGATTAATATTAATCAGTATTAAAGATTCACAGGAAGTCTCTAGAGTCTAATTTTTGAGATTAAATACCAGATTTTGTGACCTGAGAATAGTGGGCGTTGGTGTTAGACAAAACCTTTTTACAATGGTTTCCAGCAATAGTAAACAGATGTTTGTTTTCTGAAGAATTGTTTTGGCAATGGATATGAAAGTAATGGTTACAATTGAAAATTGCAGCAGCACAATAAGAAGAAAACCATGGAGAAGAGCAAGGTTTGACTTAGAACCGTCGTGAGGGAATAAAAGATTCCATGCGAGCTTGAATCCAAAATGTTACATAAAAAGCACATTTGTCAGCATGAAGACAAATGATTTCAACCCAAGGATAATCACAGAGAAAATCATGGAATAAGTCCTAGTCAGCTTTAAGATAGTTGTAAGAGGTATGATGATCAAGAGATTCTAATGATGAAGAATAATGAGATAATGGTTTTAGAGAGACCAAGACACGATCAGAAGCACTTAAGGGTGAATGTGAAGAATTTGAGCACTGACTAGGATCAGAAACAAAACATTGCTGTGAGCCTTAACACATATAGAGTCAATGACACTAAAACTAAGCCATTCAGTACGATGGGCATTAAAGTCACTAACAACAACAATATTGGCTGAAGGATAAAGGAAAGGGCTTGGTCAATTCAATCAGAAATAACATTGAAAAGAATGCAGTCTTAAGATGAAGGAGAGAGATATAGAACAAAGAGAAAGGCGATAGAGTGAAGTGGTGCTAAATGAAAGCGCATAAAGAATAGTCTGTATATTTAAATGTAGTTTCTCGATAAATGGGTGAATTCTAACAAATGTAAATGCCTAGGCCATGTATGTTACTATTAGAGTCTTTACAAGATCAACACTAAGATCACAAGATGAAACAGCTGAGTTCAAGTTAGTCTAACAAAAAGCAAGTAAATCTGCTGAACTTTGCAAAAGATAAGACTCAACAGAAGAAAAGTTACTTCAAAGGCCACAAATATTAGTGAATGATAGATTTAGAGAACTTAGTGATGACAATGGTTTTTTGTGTTTTAAAGTTTTTGGTACTTTAGTCATTTTTAAAATTGTTAAAGAACTTGACTCAAAGCACAAATAGTACTCAGTACACTATTTAATAGTCCAAGCAATTGCCTCATTACTATTAATAAACCCAAAGCTGTAACAAAAGGGTCTAAATGTAGCCTCAACAACTCACACCAAAAGTAAAAACTGAGACACCATCTAAGAGCAACCTGGCACTGTTAGTACTCTGATATTTTAAGGCTGTTGATGGAATCAGCCTCTTTGAGAGCTGTAATAAATATATACTATGACTACAAATATGGTTTTATAATGGGATTCTATATCATAATTTCAAAATCAATATAAATAATTTTATTGAACAAAACCTATTGAGTTTTGTAATAAAAACAGAGTTAAAGATTTTTAAAAAATTTAAAATTTAAAAAACTATTGCCAGATATCACAATTTGCGATCACAATTAAATTTATTAATAAAAATAAGTTTTATTTTTTTTTATCTATATGCTTTCAAATTTTTATGTAACCACATATCACAGGCAGAAGGAAAAGAGCTAAGGTAACAAATTGATGGAGATATATCTAAAATTTGATTAAAAAAATAAAAAAACAATGAATATATTATTTAGCAAACCTTTTGTTAATTATAAAATGTGCTGCCATCATATCCTCTTTTTATCCGGGGTTTCTTTACAGCAAAAATTATGCAGTTCTGAGGTTACATTGGTTTTCTAGAACATTATAACATCATTTCATTGTGGTAGCACAACTACTCAAAGTTTTAAAAGTATTTTTTTTTAACAGTGCTTTTTAAAGTTTCCAAATTTTTGAAGCCGTACTGTAGGCTTTTTTTTACAGTTTCCGTGTAAGATAGTTAGACCTACCAAAATCTCGACCTACTAAGTTGTTCTACAAAAAGAACATCTACTAAAAAGTGGAACTAATTTTCAGATAACCTAATGAGGCCTAAATTTCAACCAATTATAGTCTTTTTTATTTTTAACCAATTTATGACGTTTTCGTTTTTGACTGATTTATTTTTTGACCTATTTTAAAGATTTTCATTTTCAACTAATTTGAGTTAAATTAATTTTTTTTTAAATAACATTATTTGGTCTTTGTTTTTAATGCTGTTTTTTTTAAACAAAGAAACTTTGTTCCAAATTAAAATTTAATTACATTGAAAATATATTAAACAATAATTCCTAAATTTAATATCTTAATCATATCTATATTGAAAAAAAAGAATCGAAATTTCAAAATCAAAAAGAAGAGAAGAAATTTCTTCATTTGTGGAAAACTATATTTTAACAAGTTTCTTTAAGACCTTTTAGCCTTCAATTAAAAATGCTTTGAAATATATATATATATACATATATATATATGTATATATATATATATATATATATATATATATATATATAGTATATATATATATATATATATTATATATATATATATATATATATATATATATATATATAAAAGAGTTTTATTCATCCGCAAGCGCCACTCCATTCAAATACTCAAAAATTACACAAAATTATTTTTCTTGGCCTAAATTGATATAAATTTTTACAATAGGAATATTTATAGCTTTATTATATTTAGATCTTTAGTTTTAAAAAATGAGGGTTTTGGGAAACAAATTGCAAAAGTAGGGTTAAAATGGGTTTCAAATTTTTTTTTTTGTGCATAATATCTTTTTCAACTAACAGGTGGTTGGCATTCAACTTGAAAAAATTGTTGAAAAATAATGCACCATAGCATGCAACGAGGTGACAATTTAAAAAAATATTAATCTTAGTAAAATTACATTAATTGACGAATGGTCAGTATAAATGAAATAATAATTCTTACATCAACTATCTGTATATAATGTGAAGGCAAGTTAGGACTGACATAATCCTAAAAATATTCAAGATAAGTATAAAGATGTCTTAAAGACAAAGTATTTAAAACAAGAACAAACAATATAAATATATAAAATTAAATACCAGTCCCTTGAGATCATATATTCTTATTCTTTCCTTTTGTCCTTTATCTGCATCAATCCATGCATCATAAGAATCTTCTAAAGTTGAGTACATTACCTAATATATTTATAATTTTCAGTATGAAGTAATTTTTACTTATTTTAAAAATAATTAAATTCGGCTGCAAATTTAAAGTTAAATTAAATAACAATTAATTAATGAAAATAATAACAACATAGTTTTTTTTTTTTAATCTATTAAGTTTATTTATAACTATTTTACTCAACGGCTTTTAAAAACTCAAAAAAAATTAAAAAATACTTTTTCAGGGT